GAATCCATGATTGAGTGTTTCTCGCTGGTCTATGACATAGAGTGACCCCAACAAGAACACAGAATCATAGAATATCTCAAGTTGGAACGGACCCATAAGGATGATCGAGTCCAACTCCCTGCTCCTCGCAGAACTACCTAAAACTAAGAAATAAAGTAGAATCACTGGCTTCACAACACATCCCGCAGTTTAGGGAGAGTGCTTGAAATAACAAGTGTAATGTTACAATGGACTCAGTGAAAAGTGTAATGGTGATGAGATATGGAGAGATTCCATCCTCATTTCATCTGACAAGGAAGTGGTTCGGAAAAAAAAAAGCTTTTCTCTCTTAACAAAATAAATGGCAAGACAAAGTGTGTTTCAGAATTTCAACTCAAATGCCAGCTAAAACAAAAGCAGAGCCACTCTCCAAGAGCTGGAGTCCACCTGCTTCACCTAGTGCAGTGTCCCTGATACAGAGGGGTGATCTTCCTGTACTAGTATCTTAAATACCATAATTTCTCAGATGCAGACCAAGGTGAGTGTTGGTTTGTCTCCTAGCGTGCTCCAACACTGCAACATTCCTCCTCATGGCATGCCAGGTATTTGCCACCCGTGTGGAAGGATGGAATTTAGCCCTGCTGTCACTGCTGAGAAGACACATCTCATACTGCATGGCCTTAGCTGTAAAAGTGAGGTGACCGCATGTGAAATTCTTCTGTGAATCACAAGAATATGTAAAGGTGTGCCGTTACACAACATCTGTTGGAAGTTTAGGAATAATTCGATGCTACTGTTTGCTTTCATCAAACCTGATGCCATGAGACCACTTTGCCCAGCTTCTGCTCCCATCTGCAAACTTGTATGATAACCGTATTTCCCAAAACTGACACCAGCTGCTACACGTAACTACACATTTCCTCTTCTGTTCAAACTGCTGAGGAATTCACTAACTTTAAACCTTAAAGCAGGTTTCTAGGTGCAATTAAATTCCCTTGCAAAATATGTACGATTGTCTGAGAACATAAAATAATCTGAGAAATAATAAGTTCAAGTGCATGCCGCAATCAGCCTTACACTCTTTGAAAGGTATTCTGACACATTTCATTCACACGATACAGGTGCCATGACGTAACATGATATAGATAATAATATAGATAATGAAGGTAAACAGCGTAAATAAGCACAGTCTGCTTATCACCTAGGCAAAACTAGAAGAAAATCTAGCTACATTCAAACACTCCAGCAGCAATAGCTTCGTTTTTTAAAACTTTCTAACCCTTTCACACATAATTGCATTGTAACCCAAAGATTCTCATCTACATCCTACATTCTCCGAACAAATTACAGAATTTATTCAGCTCACTTATGGCATTACCTTGTTTAATAATTTCTAATAATGAGCTTCATATGACAGAATCCAGCTTGCCTTAAAAAACTGATGTGTTTATTAACTGTATTTCCTATGTGTATGTTCTTACTTCATAAGTATTCCCTTGTCTCTGTTTATCAGAGGCTGGAAGTTACCTGAAGTTGACACTCTGATCTGGCATATACTAATACTGACCTTAACTGTGCATTATTAGAAAGGTTTATATATAAAATCCTGTATCAACCAGCTTGAAAAAAATACTTTGTTAAAGAAGCTATCGTGTACTTTTAAAGTGTGGAAAGGAACATAAGATTAAATCAGGTCTTCTTGCACAAAACCCCAAGAATGAGCAATTTCTATTCAGAGGTTTTCAAGAACATTCAACCTTCTTCAAGTCTTGCTTATACATCTTTATATCACTCTATCACTACAGAGCTTGACGTTTTGAGCACTTTATATTATACAAGGTCAACAGTACATTCCACAGAATTTCTGGGAAATGTCTCCATCATAGAACCGTGTAAAATTTCTATGTAGAAACTGACCTTCACAAACTGTCAGCTCTTTCTTAGTTTGGCAACTTGATCTAAATCCCATTTCGGGAAATCATTCTCTATTTAATTAATACACCTCAGACTCACCTCCTGTGAGAACTGGTACAGGTATACATAGAAACGGATATTTATGCAGGCAGCACTTGAAGGAGGAAGAAAGGTTATTTACTAATAGCTGTATTACTTTGATCATATAGATTTATATTCCTCGCTTCCTCTCTCCTTCAGTGAGACAGGAACTGCGAGGACCGGGCCACAACTGCTCAACAGAAATTTTCACTGAACATTTGTTTTTTCAAGAGCGTATCTACCCCACAGCCACTTCTTTCCACCGAGTTCCAGTTTCCCACTCCAGTAAGGGAGACGCAGGGCAGACGTATGCAATCTACTTGAAAAGTATGAGCACCTGCCTACACAGGGAGAGAGACATACAGACCTCCAGCTGCGTCCTTTTGCCACTACAATTCTGCCAGTGTAACCCTCTGTAAGGAGTCTGCTTGGGAATAAAAGTGACTTTACTCTGATACCATTATTCTGCTTTATACCAGAATCACTTTTATTTCAGAATAATCTATGTAATAATCCAGAGTAATAAAAATGGCATAGCTGTTGTAGTATAACTACATTGCTACCGTTCTGTCAGTCAGGTTGCTTATGGAACAAGTTCACGTATTGCAGTGAAAGCAGACCTTTTTTCCAAAACTACAAAGCAAGGATGCTGTGTTACCAGTGCTGTTGATATCCTAAGGGTGCCATCCTTATTTCACTCACCAAGAGGAGTGCTGGGGCCCATGCTGTACCAGAGGCCTCCCTCATTTGTGTGGATGTAGCTCAAGCCTTGCTTGGGAACATTTTCAGCCAAATGAGAGTCAGCGGTAAGACGAGCGGTGGTCATGAGTTTAGGAACCACTAGCCTTCAAGAAATGCACTTAAAGGGAGAGGAAACAGTCTTTATGTCTACACAATGATTTATCCGATGCACTATTTGTCCATGCCAAATTCCTATTTAGTTCAGTGCAGACTGTTTAAGGATAAGAGTTCAAATGTAAATCTGAAGAGACTGATTTTCTTTGGTTAAAAATAAACATGAGGAGAACAGTAACAGGCCCTAGTTGCTTTAGAAACAACGCTACCACACATCAGGAACTCCATGCAATACCTCTTTCTCTTTCTCCTTCCTAAGGGGGCTCTTTGGGTGCAAGCCATTTTTTCCTCTACTTCAGGGATTAGCAGCAAGTCCCTGGTAAAGAGACCTCGGGGCTCCATTGGTCCAGCTGCCCTTTACCCCCAAGGCAGCGGCTGTAGGGGCACCCGCACTACAGCTGCCTCTGAGGACTTCCACTCCTTCCTCTCCCCCACGGGAAGAAGCCAACACCTCCTCGCTATGCTCTAGCTCCCTCTTCCCACCTGCGGGGCTCTGTGGCACCTCCTCTCCAGGGACCTCGGCCTCTACCCTGGGCTTGCGTCTTTCTCCTTCCCAAATTCACTTCACCCCTGTTCGCACTGGGTTGGCCTTTCCCTTTCCGGCTGGCTCCTGCTCTCCCAGGCGCTTTCTTGCCGCCCAGGGCGAGATACGCGGTTCGACCCACGCTTCCCACACGCAGGTCTCCCGCTCTCAGCACGCCAGGAGGACGCTCGCCCCTCTACACCCCGCTCCCTCCTA